GGCGGCTAGCAGATAGGATGGTTGGGCGGCTAGCGGGTTGGATGGTTGGGCAGCTAGCGGGTTGGATGGTTGGGCGGCTAGCGGGTTGGATGGTTGAGCGGCTAGCGGGTTGGATGGTTGGGCGGCTAGCGGGTTGGATGGTTGAGAGGATAGAGGGTGGTGTGAGCGGGTTGGGACGGCTAGCGGGTTGGATGGTTGAGTTGAGCGGCTAGCGGGTTGGATGGTTGAGAGGCTAGCGGGTTGGATGGTTGGGCGACTAGCGGGTTGGATGGTTGAGAGGCTAGCGGGTTGGATGGTTGAGAGGCTAGCGGGTTGGATGGTTGGGCGGCTAGCGGGTTGGATGGTTGGGCGACTAGCGGGTTGGATGGTGGGGCGGCTAGTGGGTTGGATGGTTGAGAGGCTAGCGGGTTGGATGGTTGGGCGGCTAGCGGGTTGGATGGTTGGGCGACTAGCGGGTTGGATGGTTGAGAGGCTAGCGGGTTGGATGTTTGAGAGGCTAGCGGGTTGGATGGTTGGGCGGCTAGCGGGTTGGATGTTTGAGAGGCTAGCGGGTTGGATGTTTGAGAGGCTAGCGGGTTGGATGGTTGGGCGGCTAGCGGGTTGGATGGTTGAGCGGCTAGCGGGTTGGATGGTTGGGCGGCCAGCGGGTTGGATGGTTGGGCGGCTAGCGGGTTGAATGGTTGAGCGGCTAGCGGGTTGGATGGTTGGGCGGCTAGCGGGTTGGATGGTTGGGTGGTTGGATGGATGGATGATGGATGGATGGATGACTACTCAAAGCAGTCTTTGACTTGGAGTTGAGAGAACATGTGTGTGAAAGTAAAAGTGTCTCAGGCAGGACAGAAATATCTGAAAATACCTTCTGACACATTTTCTACACACCTTTGAGTCATCACACACTCTCACACACACACTCTCTCTCTCTCTCACACACACACACACACACACACTCTCACAAAACTGTGTCTAGACAGTCAGAGATCTGACCAGGTTCTGAAGAGACTCCTTAGGGACAACAGTAAAAGCTCTGACCCACTTACACATACTCACTCTCTCTCTCTCTCTCTCTCTCTCTCTCTCTCTCTCATCCAGAGCCCATTTCTGTGAGCCACACACACCTCACTAAGCAACTTCAGCCTTAAAGGGATCTTCTCAAAGCTAATTGAAAGAAAACAAAAAAACAACACGAATTCCACCAAAGCAAGCGCAAATCAAAGCTCTCCACTAAAACAATCCCACTCAGCTGCAGTTTCCTTCAAACACGCCTTTTATCCACATTTCCCACTTAGATTAAAAATAACAACAAGTATAACTGCGAAAACATCACCCATAAGGGAGAAGTCTCATCTCGCTATGAATATCAGCTCTACCACCCACTCTGAGTGTTGTAAATGACGGATCAGAGGGGGTCTGGCTGGAGATAACTGCGTTTGAGAGAAAACAGTATTAGACTATAATGTAATAAGAACAAAGCAGACGCGTAGAACAAGCAACATACGCGCTGCACCTGTGTTTGATAACACTTTATTTGAAGGCTATCTCGGTGAGGACTTTGTGACACAAGCATAAACATTGAATACTGCTTTAAAAAACAATAGATAAGCATTTATATATACATAATATTTTTCAAAAACCAATAGATGACTATTTACAAACACATCCATTGGTTTTCTTTATTTCAGTATTCGCAAGATGGCATTAGACGTTTAATGAAGTAACTGCCACTGTGTGGACATAAAGGCCCTTAAACTAAAGCGACAAACATTTGTTACATTACACTGTTATGCAGCGTTATTCCCTAAGTAGCGGAGCCGAGATTCAGTTAAAAACACCATAAATCAATTCTGTATATTTCTACTTAAGTTAGATCACAGTAATCCTTAATTAGATTACAGCCTTATATGTCTCCTTAATAGAAATTCCTCATCAGCCTAACACTGTATCTATACTAGTTGCCAGTACTTTTACTTCTTATGATACTTAATTACTTTATGTAGTTACATTAATAGAAAACTCTGACTTAAGGAGTGTTTTACCATGAATATTTAAACTTCTGCTCAAGTGCAACACTTCACACCAGTGTTATAAATGAAAGATCGTCCACCTCTTTAATGGGCCTTCATGTCGTTTCAATGTCATCTACTTCATAAAACATCTTGTGATTACTGGCATGAGCTATTAATGAATACTCAACTATTGCTTTTTAAATGTGTTACTCAGTGCATTCAACATGTGTTTTCGGCTGAAATTAAATAGATAAATAAATAATCAATTGACTATGAAGAGGAAAACAGGGCGACTGGGGTCAAATCAGTTTATGGAACAGTTGTAGCTGTTTATGGAAGAATGGAGGGATGAGAAATGAACAAATTAAAGGAAAACGTACATAAAAATAATGGATTGGGAAAAAGCGAGCAATGAAATGGTTCAAAAACCTAAAGGAGAAACTGACAGCTGGTATAATTCACACATCCAGAAGTTTATTCACGGTTTGATGTTGGTCACTTTCCTATAAAATTGACCTTGTACAAATTTGGATCCTAGTTACGGCACTAGCTGTCACCATGGCAACATTCACACGTCTGCATGCAGCTGTCGATCGCACCAATATGAGGTTTTTCAACGTCAACATGTGAGCGCAGCAAAACAGCGCCCAGCAGCAGTGAGACAGGAGCGCCTGCAGTACCTCGGCATTGTGGGCGGGGCCTTTCTTCCTGAGCGATGGCGAGGGTTCTGTCGAGTGCTCTGTCGAGTGCATAGCTGCCACACCTCCGTTCCTCACGCACTCCGCCGACGGGGACTTTGGAACTGTCCACACGTGAGCACCATCTACAGAGACAAGACAGGCCATAAGAGAACTGGGGTGTCTGCAGTGAAGAGCAGAGGAGCTGATCCTGAATCAGGCTGGAGCTCCTCTCTCAGAACCAGCAGTGAGGAACCATCACAGTCCAGAGCTGATCTGAGATCAGACACTCAGGCCTGACAGGTCAGCATATCGTAGCTTTGAGTAAAAGGAACAGTTTGGTGAGAAATCAACACAATTTTACCCTAAACGCAAATCAGCCAGAACATTTTTTAGTGTCTGAGGTTTGTTTAGTTTTGCACCGGTATTAACAAGTATTAGCATTAGCATTAGCATCATGCCAGTTAGCACTGCGGAAAACCACAATGAGTTCTTACATCATTTCAAATAGACTTGTTAAAACTGACATTGTTAAAACTGGAGCCTGAATTTTGTCCATAATTCTGTCCACCAAACATGTCTTGGCTGATCTGGGATGAGAGGAAAATTGTACAAGTTTGATTTCTCATGAAACTATACTGACTATTACACAAAGCTAGCGAAAGCTGGAGCCCAGAGAGAAAGTTCCTCACCGCAGTTTCAGACGTTTTGAGCAGCTGGGATCGCGCTACCTTCTTCTATAATGCATTAGCCACATTAGCACTTCTTCACTGTGCTTTTACAGAGAGTGTTCGTCTTAAAGTGACAGTGCTAACTAGCAACGTCAGCTTTCATTCATTGTTAAGCATAGCATGTCTGAAGTATTCCAGGTTTGCTTCTTCAAGGGAGAGTGCTAACTAGCAATGCCATCCTCTGCCCACTGTTAGCCTTGTCAGCACTGCTTGGCTGGACTATGCCCTTAAAGAAGGCTTTCCAGTGGTAGTGCATGGATAACATGGATAAGTGACCTCCAGGTCTACAGTGAGCTGGAGGAAGACTCTAGAACAGTGGTCACCAACCCTGCACCTGGAGACCCTGCAGGCTTTAGCTCCAACCTGATTCAACTACTTATTGTTGGTTAGCTGAATGAGGTGTTAGATGTAGGTTGTTGGGAAGACCTGCAGGATGGTAGATCTCCAGGAAGACGGCTGGTGACCAGAGCTCTAAAAGAAGGGGGTGATTATTGGATTGGGGCAGTTGGGAGGCAGACAAGGACTTTACTAGCCATGAGGAACATGGGATCATCATCATCATCATCGCTATCACCATGAGACGACACTGATCCAAGCACTGACTCCGAACAGCTTCACTTGAAATGCTCATCTTCAGATCTAGTGAGCGGAAAAGCTGATTCCAGAGCAGTGATTGGGCGTCCTTCTCAAACTTGGTTGGACTTGACGTCTTACTTGCATCAACATATGGTTGCTTGTCTCAGATAAATCAGTCCCAAAAATAAATATAGAAATGTGTATCTATATACATCTGTAAAGATCAGGGATCAATCAGGGACGGGCCATTCACTCACACTGCTATCTAGTTAGCAATTAGCCAGTTACCTTAGGATTCAGCTTGAAATTGCCCCAACTTGTGTAGTGCCTTGGTAAAAATACCTGTAAATCACCTGAATAGAACACCTTGTATATCTAGAACTGGATATGCTAACAGTGAGCATTGCTGTTTTAAGAAAAACTAGTCAATTGGTTCAGGAATTCCTGATTTAAAAAAAATGTACAGATTCCATGGGATTCTGCTTGGAATATTAACATCTTTGTTTCCAGAGTAAGGACACAAGTTGGTACAATCACACTTAGCCACAGGAGGGGCAGCTCTGCTAGCTGAGTTTCACAAGAAATATATTTGATTTTAATTAAATACACATTATACGTCAAAACGTTTGTGTCCACCTGCTCCTCCAGTGTTTCTTCTGAAATGAAGGGTATTAATAGGGAGTTTGTCCACACTTTGCTGCAGCAACAGCCTCTACTCTTCTGGAAAGGCTTTACACTAGATGTTTAGTTACGCATTGCTGTGAGGATTTTATTGAGCATTAGTGAAGTCAGGTGCTGATGTTGGATGGTCAGTTCTGGATCACTCCAACTCATCCCAAAGGTACTGGATGGAGCTCCATCACTCCAGAGAACACAGTTCCACTGCTCCACAGCCCAATGCTGGCAGCCTTCTTAACCCCTCTAGCACACGCTTGCGTGTTGGGCATGGTGACCTTAGACCTGCACCTTCTCTAGAGCGTCCCATTCTATTGGTTAATGCTTTTCTATGGAGATTATACAGACTGTGTAAATAATCTCTAATTGTTCTTGGCAACCACAGACATAACATTTCTCCTCAGACATCCCGTTCAAATCATTGCAAATGTTCAGTATGATTCATCAAGATGTCGGGCAAATATAAACATTCAACTAATCATGCAGCGGGAACATGCACAAGACACACTGGTGCAATTTAGTGGTGATGTGTGACCCACAGACTTCATGAAACATGCAGAGAAGAAATTTGCTATTACCTGGTTTAGCTTCCCCTTTTGCTCAGTGGCCTGGTTGTAAAGTCCCACCCCAATCCCTTCGCCCTTTCACAAGCCCAATCGGCAAAATCAGGTCCGGCGTTTTACAGAATTCCCCAATAAATTCCTTCTCAATTTATGTGGTGTATTACGAAGGTAGTCATATGCAGCAAGTCATTGAGTAGAGATGAACTTTATAACCTATGACAATTGTATGAAATGACATTAGCTTAGATGGCAGAACTTCTGTCCATAACATTTGAACTTAGAATCAGTCAATGAACTGTCCAGTTAAACCTTTGACTGCTGTGGGTGTGGAGCCTACATGGTTCAGGAAAACGACTGAGAAAGGAAATGTTCCATCATCACATAAAACTAATCATGTCTAAGCAACATGGCAGACTCTGTGACCTTACCATTGAGTCTTTTTTACAGAGCATGTCTATTTGATCTTTGTCTGAAACCTTCTCAGCCTCAGCCCAAAGGATAAAATGAGGAGGATAAAAGAACAGAGAAGCACCAGGCCAAAGCTGCTTCGAGAGAACAACTGGAGCGAGACAAGCCAGAGAATTTCCCAGCAAGGAGAATCGCATCTCTGCGTTTGAATGGGTCACTTAACATCTGAAAAGCTGTACAAAAGTTCAGTCTCAATGAGGGGAAATCTGGAACGTCGCAAGGCATACTAAATTGCATCCACAGAGAGGAAAGAAACTCTAACTATTCTCCCGAGAGGTGCAACCTACTGCTGGTTCCATCACAGGGCATTCGCGACTTCGGTCCCTGGAGAGGTCACAGCCATCCCGAGGCTGGGAGTCCAAGAGAGCATAATTGGCCTTACTTTTTCTTGATGCTCGCCCACAAATGCACAACTCTGCTCCTGGAGGGCCGGTGTCCAGCACAGATTTTCCCACTCAAACACACCTTAATCAATTCATTTTTTAATTGACAGATTAAGTGGGTGTATTTCAGTAGGGGAATTATCAAGCTGTTGCACACCGGACCACCAGGTCCAGAGTTGTGCCACCTTGTTCTGGCCAAGGTGGGGGTCTGTTACAGGATTTTGCAACAGTGGCAGTTTAAAAAATGCGGTTGCGCTTCATGTGTCTCGGAGGAAGCACATGCTAGCCTCGACCCTCTCAGCTTGGTAGCATCACGAGGGGGTGACCTAGCTAGCAGGAACAATCTGTCAGAATGACAGTATGGACAATCATATAGTGATCTGCTACAGGCTGAGCTGGCCTCTAGAAGCTTGTGAGGCCATAGCTGGCCATGCCAGGAGGATCATGGGAGGCCCATGTCTTCTGGAAAAGGGACTTCTTGTTGTTGTTACTGTTGTTGTTCATTGGTTTGATATATATGTGTATGTGTTTATTATGTTATTCTGTGCTGGGGGATGTGGGTTGTTAGTGTGTGTTGTGTGGGGGGGTGGGTAGCATGAAGGCTGTGGTTAGTGGTGACCTCCTTATTGAGTTCAGTGCTTTGTATGAGCCTTTCTGCCCTGGCGTTTATTAAAGAGCACTTCTCATGGTGGAATCATGGCCTCCTCATGTCTCACTCTATGCTGATGCTACAATATGAACATTATACAGCACTTTTTTAAATGACTGTCAGAATGACTGTTATAGAGCACTTTTGTTTTTAACTTTTGCTTCAATTTTTTTTCTATAATCAATTGCATTGACAAATACAATTCTGCTAACCAATCATTGCAGCACTAACTTTAAAATAAAAATCCCACCCCTACACCCTGGTACGATGCCCTGGGTGAGACAGGTGATGGCCCTGTAAAGTATATTTTCATCGCAGAGTGTGGAACTGATGTGCTTGAATTTTCAGAGGAGCTGGAAATATTACCTTGAGCCTGGGTGTCTATAGAGATATTAGAATTTTTTAAACCTGATTTGTCTGCTTTAACTAATCTTGACCTGAACCATCTACACACATACACACACACACTTTCTAAACTGCTTATCCTCCTGGGTCACCGGGGGGAGCTGGAGCCAATCCCAGCGGCCACTGGGCGGAGGGCAGGATACACCCTAGTCAGGTCGCCAGTCCATCGCAGGGCAGACAGACAGACATATACATCCACACTCACTCACACCTAGGAGCAATTTAGCCTGTCCAACTGGCCTGACTCCATGTCTTTGGACGAGACCTTCTGAATGCACTTGAGATTTTGTAAACCATACTAATGCTATGGTTAACGTATAGTAGCAAAAACATTAAATATGATTCATCAAGCAGTGTGGTTAGTAATTCAAAAACGTACAAAATATTAGTACAGATATCTGCAAAAAATAGCATTAGTACGCCAAACATTCTGTAAGTGTACACTTTCTCAAACACGATTAAACTATTAATATGTCTAAACTAAACTGATTATGACCAAACTAGTTTTATACTACAGCTTTTAAGCTAATGCTGCTAATGAACAGGACAAACTAAAGGCAATGAACATGCAAGTCGTATGACTTAATCTTCAGTAGAACAAAAAATAATAGATCAGCGGAGGAATTTACGTTACTGACTGAGGACCCATCAAATTCACAATATTTACACACCTGCTAGAAATTGGATTCATCATTATTCATGCTATTTATGCAATCTAACACTATTAACATTCTGTCTTGACTTTCACTTCTTTTGAGTTCAGTAAAATTAGGTTAGTAACAGATGCAAAATTACAGATATGAACATGAGCTACAGTTGGTGGAAAATCATATGGTCCAGACTGTATAGATTTATTGTCTAATCCAACCTTACCTGAAAATGCCAGTGTACCTGTATAAACAACATAGAAAATGTACAGTGTTGTTGGTGTAACTCACTGCTCTTCTGAAGCATTAAAAGCTATTTGGCTCCTAATAGCACCCCCTTGTGGAGAATCTCCAGCCTGCTAAACATGAGCGAGTGAGTGAGTGAGTGAGTGAATGAGTCAGTGAGTTAGCCAGGGCCACAAGGTGCTTCATGTTGGTCCTTTAAGAAAGCCAAACCCACATAGAGAAGCTGCTAAGGCCATGTAAGGTTTGCTCTGAAATGTTTTATTGGATCAATTTTGTGATGTCAATGACAAGAATGAGCAGGCATGACCATGTGGTTCTTTGGCATGTGGTTACTCCAGCATAGACACACAGCTCACATGCACTAGAAGGCTGTGAGATATTTAGCCCTTTCTGTCAAACAGCACAGAGTGTTGAGTAAAAATGGTACATTGTGGCCGACCACACAAAAAAAAGAAAAAACAAAAACAACAATACAGAAAAAACATACAAATGGATTAAGTACAAACAACAATGACGACAACTAGACAACAAAAAACATAAATGTAGGGGTGTAAAGATGCATCAACATATTGTGATGCATCAATCTGAAGGTGATAATTCAATTGCATCTATTTTGGAGTGTTCATTTGCCGAATCACATGCGACTCAAAAATGTATGCGCTAATTTTTTGGCCGAAAAAAAGTTCTCAGGCTACAATTGTGTGACAAAATTCTGAACACCCCTGGTGGGAGTTTAACACATAGCAAAATACAAATACAAAATGGGACTCCCCCAATATGTTAAATGCAGCAAATAAACAGTAATTGTGTATTAAAATGTGCAGCAGTGTGTCTCTGTAAAGGATGCATTAAATTAAACAAAGAGCGGAATTTGACCAGGGGTGTCCAAACTTTTGCATAGAACTGCATTTCTAAATGTGAAAAAAATTGTTCCATTGTTTTTACTGATTCGTTTGTCAAGACTAAAAATACACAAACTTGACAGTATATTTTGTCATACTTGTGCATTTAGTATATTTATTATTTAAATCGTACTGATTTGCGGTTATTTGATATTTCAAAACGCACTAAATCATTTCCTAAATAACTGTAAATACAATATACAAACTTAAGGTGCTGTTTATTGTCACATTTGTGTATTTAGCGTACATCTAAAAATATTCATCCTGGATTGTACCAAAATAAGTGAATGGAACTGAATCGTGGTGAAATCAGATTCCAAGAATTCGCTGAATCATTTCCGTAAGAATCGGAATCAAATCAACACAAGGACAGAGATATTTACACCCCTATAAACATGCAACACACATCAAAAACAAACCCCTTCAGCAACATTTGTTGCACACATTGAGTTGCATGGGGCCGGTGATGTATGGGCAAGGGCCGCAGTCTACCTCACTTGGGCCCTTCTCAGCCTCGCAATCAGGGCTGACCGGGGACCCCTGGGGGCCCGGAGTCTTTATGGCGCCCGTGTTGGACTCACCGGAGGCCGGGGCTTGGTTGTGGGCATGGCTGTGGGTGTGGCTGTGCTGCAGAATGCTCAGGCACTCCCCCAGGCAGCTGAGGGTGGCAGCTGAAGTGGCTTTGAGCAGCAGAAGGTCCTGATCCAGACACGATACTGAACCTCTACGGGGTAAACCCTCTATAGACTGGACCAGCGTCTTCTGCCTGGCCTCGGCCTGGGACATCACCTGCGGTCAGAGAGAGAACAATTTTATGGAACTTTCTTCTTCAGTAATAGCTTTGCACTGGATCCACAAAGCTAATGCAGCTAAGAAACAAATGGGTAAAGGTTACACCTTTGACTCCAAAAAATTAGGGTAGCTTAACTCCTATAACAATTGGAGACTCAGATCGGACTCGCATCTCAGAGACTCAACACTTGACTAGCACCTCAGAAACTAGAGATTTGACTCGGACTCACACCCTAGAGATCTGACCCTGGAATCAGACTTGCATCCCAAGGACTCAAGACTCAGCTTAGACACTTACTTCAGAGACTCGAGACTCAACTCAGACTTTCACCTTAGAGACTCAAGACAATACTTGGACTCACAACTCGGGACTCGACTTGGACTGTCACCTCGACATTTGAATCAGACTCGCCCCTCAGATACTTGAGACTCGACTTGGACTCTGACCTCAGAAACTCGAAACTCAACTCAAACTCACATCTTAGATACTCGAGACTCAACTTGGACTCTCACCTCAAAGACTCGACATTTGAATCAGACTCTCACCTCAGAGACTTGATTTGGACTCTCACCTCAAACACTTGAGATTCAACTCTCACTTCAGAGACTTCAGACTTGACTCGGACTCTCACCACAGAGACTTGAGACTTGACTCGGACGTGCACCTCAGAGACTCAAGGCACTGGACTCAGACTTGAATCTCAAGGACTGAAGACTTCACTCACACTCGCACATCAGAGACTCGACATTTGAATCAGACTCTCACCTCAGAGACTGAAGTCTCCACTTGAACTCTTACCTCCTTGACTTGACATTTGAACTGGACTCACATCTCAGAGACTTGTCACTCCACTTAGATTCTTACCTCAGAAACTCAAGACTCCACTCGAATTCTCATGTCAGAGACTCAAGACTCCACTCGGAATCTCGCCTCAGAGAATCGACTCTACTCTGATTCGTACCTCAGAGACTGAAGACTCCATCTAGATTCACATCTCAGAAACTCGAAACTCGACTTGGACTCACACCTCAGCCCTGACATTTGAATCGGACTCACATCACAGAGGCTGCTGACTCGACCTGACTCTGACCCTCACCTCAGTGACTCTATTCAGACTCGTACCTCAGAGATTTAATCGAAATTAAACCAGACTTGCACCCCAAGACACCTGACTCGGCACTGACCTGCACCTTAGAGACTTGTACCTCCAGTGCTAAAACTAAAAGAAGCAAACCTTAGATACTAAACAAGCACTGACTGATCCACTACTTTTTGGCAGAGGGGGAAACTGGGTAATCTGATTTTTAGCAGAACTAATGCAATTCCAGTCTGAACTGCATTTATTTCAATTTCATCTGTACAGCACTTTCTACAGTACACATCACCACAAATCTGCTTTACAGAGAATACAGAGTACTCATTCATATTTATATTCCAGAGAAGACATTTTAGCTAATCCTCCTTAGCACACAATGATCTGATCCAGTAAATAGAAAGCTAAATTAAATTAATCATTACAGTCTGCTCTGAAAGCGTGTACACACCATCTGCTGTCTGAATGCAGTCTTAGTCGTGACTTAAAAAGATCTAAACTGAACTTTTAATTGGCTCTAAAACTTCGACAGTACATTCAGATTCTCCACAGTCCAAAAACACACTGGCCTTTCATCTGCGAGAGTGCGTCTGTGAGCCCCCCACACATACACTGCTGTATGAGTCATCAGTGTAAAGGCAGAGGGTTGGGTGACCGTGGTATGTGTGCTGGATTTGGTCTTAGTAAGATCTTTAAAGAGGACCGGTCACACTGTCCGACTGCCATGATCGATTTTCCAGCTCAGAATAAATACCGAACGCTTTGCATTATAATTCTGGGAATATTTACCCGTTTTATTAAAAAACCTGTAAAGCTGGATTCCTACGTGTCCCAGAGCTCCTTTGCACTCTTGAGATGTTGGGGTGTGGCTGTATTGGCACAGCACAGATATAGCCATGCCCCTCATTTATTGTGGGGCATGGCTATTAGCTGACGTGACTGAACTGGCGGTTGGTGCTTTCCTCCAAGTGCGTTCGGCTGTCCAATCATGTTGCGTGAGCGACAGTCCTGGCGCTGGTGGTATCATGTGACTGGGGGAGTCCTAACTAGTGGGTGGAATTAGATGTCACTAAATTAGGGAGAAAATTGGGGAAAGTGTGTACATTTTTTGTGGAATTAATCAACGTCTTCACTCCGTCAATCAATATGCTGAGCTGTGCAGAAAGACATTTGATTTCAGACTGTCGATGAAAGAGGCTGAAAAGTTGCGACTGCTATAAATAACCTGAACTGCAACAAAACACACCATTTGTGCTGAGAAATATTTGGACGTGTTCAAAACACAAAAAACATTAGTTCAAAGCTCCATGAAGGATTGTGGACATTTGAACTAGCATCAGACCGGAACTTAGTATTTCTATGAACAGAACTCAAGCTGAGGTCGGTAAGACCTAACGAACACCGCTTTAGCTGCTAGGAAGTGGACAAGCTTCATAATGTTACAAAATGTGTGTCCTATTTGAGCCAAGATACCCGAAACATACTGGGATAAATTTGTTTTGCATTTGTAAGCTGCTTTAACGGTGCAGTTCTCTCTCATACTGCAGCTGGTCTCTTCTATCACTTCCAACATGAACTCTGGCTAAAAATTATACATTAAAATGTATTTTTTTAATCACTTCAGAACAACTCTGAAAATGTACATGTGTTGACACTGCTGTATTTAAACTAAATACACAGATGAGCCAAAACATTACGCCTATTATACTGATGGTCCTCCCTGTGCCACCAACACAGCCATAACCCAGTGAGGCACAGGCTCTGAAGGTGCCATGTGGTACCTGGCACCAAGACATTAGCAGCAGATCCTACTTTTTTATTGCACTCTATTTAGTATTGACAGTCATTTAAATCTCACACAACTGGTCAACATAGAAAATCATTCTGGAAAATCTTTGTATGTCCACAGGGGGGCCCAAAGTTTCCAGAATTTGTCCATTTGGTGATGTAGGTTGTAGGTCAGTTTTTCCCAAGGGAAGCAGAGTTGCAGCTTGGGAAAGCCACTGCTCAAAAGATAGTGGAGAGGAACTGGCCCATCGAATTGGGGTACATTTTTTGCCAGAAATGAAAACATTAGAAACAAAAATTTGCCATCGGTATCAAAAATACGTTCTGCTCCTAGTCCCAAAAGATACAGGGCAGGGAACTTCTGAAATAGTGTTTGAAAGATAGTCCCAGAAAAAGCCAATAGCAGTAGATCTTTTAAACCCTGAAAGTTGCGAAGTGGAGCCACCATAGATTGGACTTCCTTGTTCCAGCACATCCAACAGAAACTTGATCAGATTGAGATCTGGGGAATGTGAGGCCAGGGCAACTCTTCATGTTCCTCAAACTGTGTGCAGTGTGGCAGGGTGCATTATACTGCTGAAAGAGGAGTGGGAATACTATTGCCACTAAGGAATGTACCTGGTCTGCAACAACATTTAGGTAGGTTGCCTATATGTGAAAATGACGTCTACATGAAGGCCTGGACCCAGAGTTTCCCCAGCAGAACTTCGCTCAGAGCATCACACTCTCTCTCTGGCTTGTCTTCTTCCCTTAATGCATCCTGGTGCCACCACTTCCCCAGGGAAACCCTGCACAGGTACCCGGCTGACCGCGTGATGTAAAAGAAGATAGGACTCATCGGACCAGACAACTTGTATGCCCATTGTTCCTCCCTGGTCCACTGTAGGTAGGTACTCATCACTGCTGACCCTGAGACCCCACAAACTTTGCTGCTTCAGATGCAACGACCCAGTTGTCTGGCCATAACAATTTGGCCTTTGTGAAAGTTGCTCAAGTCTTCATAGCTGCCCTTTTCTCCCACATCTAACACGTCCACTGTGAGAACCAGCTTACTGTCCAATATATCCCAGACTTTGACGTGCACCAGAGATAATAAAAGTTATTTGCTTTGTCGATGAATCGTAATATTTTGGATCATTGGTGTATAAAGCCTGCTCCCACCACTACTGTGGCTAGTTCTGTATTTCCAGTTGGTAAGATTGCCATTTCTGTTGTGACTGAATTTGAAGAGGTTGAGTTGGTGGGTAGGAAGTGTATAGACCCTATGCTTCATGTCACCATGGTGATTCTTGAGAGCTGAGTTCTATCGCTGTTGGAAACATGACCAAAGACATTATGGTTTTTCCTCATTTTATTCTGTCTAATGGCCCTTACAATAAAAAACAAGCTTTTCAAACCACCGGCAAACCGGAGACATGAATGTCTCCCATTTAATGAATTAGGCTCCTAAATTAAAGGGTTTAAATGCAGTTAAAACAAAATCTAAATGTGCACTGTGCAAGCTTTTAAAGTTTAAGTTTGTGCTAAGGAACATATTTCAGAAAACCCAGAACAGCTGAACATGTTCAGGCACTCTGATGTTGAACAAGCTGTGACAGGAGAGGAAGCAAAAATAGCACCGAGGACCAGAGCCTACTGAAAGATTCTCTGGTCTGGGAGTTCGAGACTCTACGGTTGTGAAATGGTTATGATATATTGATGTACTGGATGACTTATACACCGCAGCCATCACCATACAGTGATTAAAGATGCATATGGATATCAGAATCATATTAGCATTTGCAGATTATTTAAAAATATAAATTATCAGCATCAAACAGGTGTTTAGATTTGGCAGATATTTCAACCAATACTTCAAACCAATACATCAAGACATATTTATTATAATCTGGAAGAGCAGAGGTGTTTAGATGATGCTGGGCTACAGTGCTAACATGCCTGTATTTAATTCATTTTGCAACCCTCCACAAAACCCTCTGTCATGCTAATCCAGTTAATCCAAGTAGTCCCAAGCTATATATTTTATAAATGCATCTATATCAGCATCATCAGATACACACATGAAAAGGACCAGATATCAACCCACAGTTCCCACATCAGTGCTTTCCAAAATGTAATAATACAAAGCCAGTTAATGTAACACTAACACAATCTCCCCAAACACCATGCATCATCTCCAAAAGTTAATCCACACAGACTCCACACAGACTTCACCAGGTCTCTCATAAACTACGCCACGTCACCCACTAAGTAGACAGCAGGTGCTATATAATTTATCTAATGTCCATTTCTTGCCATGGGCACTGAACTGAAACAGGCCAGATAATCTGGTATGGCAGTCAAAGCAGAGGCAATTTCTCCCCAGAGCATTTTCTTTTTATTCAAAACTGAGTTTTGCTATAGCTTGATTTTGAATTTTGAGGTATGAATGAACTGCAAAACCAAGGTATCAAAACAGCCTACTTAAAACAGGCACTTCAAAAGAATATGCTTACCACTAAGTTTCTTGTCATTATGCTAATACAGGAGTCGGCAGGCCAAATGTTAAGAAGAGACATTTTGTCTTTTCAACAAAAAATCAAATCACCTTGGGAGTCACATTTTATGTCCATTTTACTGAAGTAACGTTTTACAATCTTGTCTGTAAATATGTCTCAGTATGTGCTGATGTACTAGTATAGTCTAAAAACTATAATATAAACAAAAACACAGACTTACTTTGCTCTTCTTTAAGCTTTAGCTCAGCTATAGTTGCTTTTCTCACATCTCCAGCAGGAAACTTTTCCTCAATAGTAGAACAGTTTTTTTGTAAAATGTCTCTCAACGTTTGATTTTTACGAGGCTGAAGTCTCTTCTCATTCACCAGCTTCTTGTTCAAATTTTCCCGTTCCACCTTAAATGGTGCCTGAGGCGCCAGAATGTAACTGCTGCACCATTTAAGGTGGAACGGGAAAATTCAAACATAAACCTGACGAATGAGAAACTGACTTCAGCTTCGCGACTTTTTAGTGTTTGTCAGTTTCTCGTTGCAGATTAAACGTATCAGGAAACCAGCTGGAGTGATTATAAACACAAATCAGTCCATTCGTCTCCAAATTATCGACATTTTATTTTTTTCTCTTTGCCTTTTCATTAGCTACTAGCTAGGCGAGATTGTTGTCTGCGTTGCTATGGTGACCAGCAGTCTGTGCACCAACTTTTAGTGTTAAAGGCCAAATTAACACCGGATTAGACCATTTATGAATGAACTCCAGCATTTAGAACCATTTGTTGTTAAGCTCAGCAAAGCAAAGGAGGATCGTTTTATTTTTTCCTAAAAATCTAATTCTGCTGTGGAGCCGCAACAGGGCAGTAAAAGAGCCGCCTGTCGTCGACCCCTGTGCTAACATGTTCATCTAAAGATACAAAAGCCAAGCTCCCCTGAGCCAACTGAGATTTAAGTGAGGCTTTGTCAGAAAAAATAATATTTTTATAATAATAATTCTGTGCACTGGTTTTATCAGTCCAATAGGAAACAAACAGCAGTTAGCTAGTTCATCAAGGGCCTAGTAGCAAGCAGTTGCATCTTCAGTCATTCCTGAATTTTGTTGGAAACTGTATAACTTTGCTGAACACGGCGCAACTGGTTCTCTAAACCAAGCTTACGAGCCTGTATTTCAGAGTGGTTTTCCGCAGCTTGCAGTGGAACAGGTATAATTTCCAAAAAACAAATAACCTGATATCTCTTTTCTTCTCCGGCCTCTCGACTGCAGTGTTAGTAGATTAGTCGACTAATCTATGCAGCATCCATTACACACATACACATGCTGCTACGGTACACACACACACACACCACCACACCATGCACTCACAGAAAACCAGAGCTTTGACATGCTTTCTCTGAGTTTTGCTGAGTTTTTTTATCTTCTAAGCCTTAGCAGATTTAGAAAGAAACAGTTTGCACTCTGGAAGGCTGACAGAACCTTAGCAGCAGAGATCCACACCAAAGACCTCGCTGGGAAAACTCTGCCAGAGGCTTCATAAAGTGACAGGAAGCTGCACAGCAGCATCTAAATCTGATCTGAATATAAAAGCCCAACTGGCACACTGAGCACATCCATGCAGACTGGGATGAGCTGCTTAAGGTGATTTTAGACTCATTCAAAATGCAGCAAATCACAGTTTACATAAAGTCTACACTGACGCACTTTTCACTGTGTCATCATGAGAGCAGGTCTGAGTTCATGAGTGTGTGTGTTCTTTAATGTTCTGTAAAGTTGGCTTTAGAGGGTGAAACTTTGATGTAACCATAGAAACTAAATTTCACTTCCGTTGCGTACCTAAAAGCTTCCTGCAATGACATGAGCCTATTACTCATCCAATCAGAATGCAGATAATGTACCCTGTGGACAAAACTATTATTTTAACCAATCAAATCATGGACATGAAAGTAAAGGAGGACAAAGCTGCACTAATCTTAATGAACAATGCAGCTTATTGGCTGGTAATTACTCAGCATAACTAGCAAGATGGCAAGTTGGCTGATGTAAACATGACGTCTGTTCGAATTGCCGTTTGTGCCGGTGTTTATTTACTGCCTTCATGCAATGCTTCAGATCTTTCAGTCAACCAACGTATTTAGAGTACATTGACATTTACAATGTAGCAGAGCCGATACAGAAATCAGAGACTGAGAAGATTTATAGTAAAAACATAAATGTTAAAAAGTAATAATAATCATAGTAAATCAATAAATGAATAAACCGTTAAAATTACAACAATACAGTAACTTAAGATAAAATACGGATAAATCAAACATGTAATTAATGAAAAAGAAATAAAGAAATAAAAGACGTAAAACAAAAGACGTAATCTTTAATTTGTTGAGTGTAATTTCAGACATTAACTTCTTGAAGACCTGTGTACACCAGAATGATGCTTCTCTGTGTGACTGAAATGAACTTTTTGTACAGAAATTTTACAGAAATGACCAGCTAAGCTGCTCACAGCCTGTGAGTAGTTGTGGGAAAATATCACCGTGTTAGTCCAGCTGTCATTTTTGAGTATGTGTGTGTGTGTCAGGGTTATTGTAGCTCATTAAAACTATCACTAAAATGAAAACTAGCAGTGAAGAAACATGCTTGTTAACTGTAATAAAATTAAAACCATTTTAAAAACACAAACTAAAAGAGTATGATGTCTACAACAAAACTAAGAAAAAACAGAATTACTGAGATAAAAAAACTTCAGCTTTGTTTTCATTTCAGTGTATGAAATGCAGCAGTGAAAAAAATTCTGTGTATGAATGAAAGGTTGGAGGTGGAACTCTTCTGTGTTTGGCCTATAACAGCACTGAAAACTAACACTGAAACTAAACTAAAAACTAAACTAAAAACTGAACTTAAACTATTTAGGAACTAAAAACAAAACTAAAATGATTAACACACCCTTAAAACTAACCGAGACTAAACGGAATTTAAAAACTAACGAAAAATGCAAAACTATAACAACCCCAGAGAGTGTGATGTGTGTGTGTGTGCGTGTGTGTGTACTGACCTCTTTGACCTCCAGCAGTGTGTGTGGGTAGGGGGTCCGGCTCCGTCGCGCAGCTGCAGGTGATTTGTGGTGTGTGTGAGTGATGGTGATGATGTTACTGGGAGCTGCAGGATGATGTCTCTGAACTCCAGGAGAGGAAGAGGAGGAGGAGGAGGGGAGGAGAGAAAAACTACACACACGACCCTGAGAGAGAGAAAGAGAGAGGGAGAGAGAGAGAGAGAGAGAGAGAGAGAGAGAGAGAGAGAGAGAGAGAGAGAGAGAGGGAGGGAGAGAGAGTGTGCATGTTTATTGAGTCAGTGTGATCAAACCACTTCAGTATTTACTGTCAACAGTACAAGTCACTTTGAAAGAAAAAAGAGGAAAGAAGAGGAGAGAAGAGGAGAGGAGAGGAGAGAACAGAACAGAGTAGAAGAGAAGAAACAGAGAAAAAGAGAAGAAAAAATGAGAAAAGTAAAAAAGAGCAAGAGAAAAGAAAAAAGGAAACGAAAAGGAGGAAGAGAAATGCAGAGAGAAGAAACAATGAGAAAACAAGAGAATAGAAGGAGAAAAGGAAAAAGAACAATGTAAAAAGAGGAAAGAAAAAGAAAGAAAGGAAGGAGGAAGAAGAAGACGACAAGTGGAAAGAAGAGAAGATAGAAAGGGAACAAAAGAAGAAATGAAAAGAAACATCAGGTCAGGCTGTGTAGGTGATACAAGTCTGATGGCTGTAATCAGAGCTGATGGTTCTGTAAAATAGAGTGTATAGCAGAGAGCGAGAGAGAGAGAGCGAGAGAGGGAGAGGGAGAGAGAGAGGGAGAGAGGGAGAGAGCGAGAGAGAGAGAGATTATATCCTGAACAGGAGTTGTAATCAGGACTGTGTTCTTACTGTAATGGCTCTGAGCTCAGTGGTCTGATTGGGACCCTTCACCTCAGTGAGATGAACAGAGTCTGCAGGGTCCAGTGAGGCCGAAAGGCTCAGTGTTTTCTGGGAAAACATGCTTTTTTAATTTTAACTCATTTTATCTTTAACAGAACCATCATGCTTGTTGTACTCAAACTCCGTAGGTATTTTAGTCTTAATCTTATTAAGTCTTGGTTGAAAATAAAAGGGTCGAGATCCTAAAAAAGCCCACCAGAAAATTATCCAATCAGGATGTTTTCTCTGCGGTATTTAGGCAGATACAGCTCAGCGAGCTCTCCCATTGGTTAGGACTTCAGGAGCTGAACTACAGACCTCACACGTTAGATTAACTACCCAAACAATAAAGAGCAAATTTGACTCAAGAAAAGAGGAGAGAAGAGGAGAGGAGAGAAGAAAAGAAAAGAGAAGAGAACAGAAAAGAACAGAACAGATCAGAAGAGAGGAGAAGAGGAGAGAAGAGAAGAGAAGAAAAGAAAAGAACAGAACAGATCAGAAGAGAGGAGAAGAGGAGAGAAGAGAAGAGAAGAAAAGAAAAGAGAAGAGAAGAGAACGGAAAAACAGAAAAGAACAGAACAGATCAGAAGAGAGGAGAAGAAAAGAGGAGAGAAGAGAAGAGGAGAAGAGAAGAAAAGAGGAGAGAAGAAGAGAAGAACACAAAAGAAGAGAAGAACACAAAAGAAGAGAGAAGAGAATAGAAGAGAAGAGAAGAAAAGAGAAGAGAAGAGGAGAGAAGAGAAGCGAAGAGGAGAGAAGAGAAGAAAAGAGAAGAGGAGAGAAGAAATGAGAAGAGATGTTATATTACATGTTAGATTAACTACCAAAACAATAATAAGAGCAATTTCACTCGAGAGCTTTTTCTCAGACCCAGGACCGCTTGCTCCGCGAGTATGTTTGTCAGGTGTGAAAGCCGTTCTCAAGGCTGGGAACAGTCCAGAGAACCGATCTCTGGTCTTTCTGAAATCGTTGGTCTGGGGACCGTTTAGAGAGCCATGTAGCCCTAACACTTTGCCCTACCCCTCTATCTCAACAACAATCAGGACACCCTACCCTTAGACGTGAACACGCAAAAAGGAGGGGTAGAGGTAAGCGGTGGGGGTAAGGGGTGAAATGGGGTTGGGCCTTGGTCTTCTGGAGGTTCTAGATGTGTCACTAACTGAGAATACAAGCTGTAGTCTAAGCAGGTTTCAGGTGGTTGTTAGGAATGGAAAAGAATGGCGGCGGCTCTATTACAGAACTTATTATTGAAAGAGTCACTGTAAAACTGATACATACAGGCTCACATATATGTTTATGGCTGTTATAAGCTTCAAATAACAGAGAACAGAACAGACAAAAAAGGTTCATGTGCTCCAGCATTAGTTTAGCACTAATATACTGCTAGAATCCAATAGGGGTGCTGACGTTATCACGCAGGTGGGGTTTTTGTCTCTTCGTTGTTGTTGTTTTAAAGGTATGAACCCGGACTGAAGATCTCGCTCCAATAACCAGTGCACCACTGTTCTTAGTACTGCAACAAAAGAAACAGAAAAATCTAGGACTTTATAAGGCCGTCTGTTTAAAAAAACACTTATTAAAAAGCCTTTTTTAAAGACACCTGGATAACCCGCCAGAACTAGCATCCAACTCCTAAGGAGGCATCCTCCAATGCCCTGCTCCTCTCCTTTCTTCTGCTTATTCAGCAGGATCTCCATCCATGACCAGGGACACACAGCTTGGTCTGTTTGGGTTGGAAGAGTCCTGCAGAGAGCGTAGGCGCTAGGCAACAGAAACAACAGACTGCAGAGCCACCAGGGAACAGGACCGCAACCAGACAGCGTGATCATCAGGCAACGGAACGGAATCCGGGATGTAGTGCAACCGTTTCTGAACAACAACACACAATCAGATCATTAAGAAGTGATGAAAGGACCTCTGAGAGGAACCAAGACTCAAAAGGAGAATCTCTCTTTGAGCATGAGGAAGAACCACTGAGAGGAACCAAGACTCAAAAGGAGTATCTCTCTTTGAGCATGAGGAAGAACCACTGAAAGGAACCAAGACTCAAAAGGAGAAACTTTCAAAGAGCATGAGGAAGAACCACTGAGAGGAACCAAGACTCTAAAGAAACTCCCTAAGAGCATGAGGAAGAACCATTGAGAGGAACCAAGACTCTAAAAGTTAACACTCCATGAGAACATGAGGAGGAACCACTGAGAGGAACCAAGACTCTAAAGGAGAAACTGCCTAACAATATGAGGAATAACCACTAAGAGGAACCAAGACTCTAAAGGAAAAGCTCCCTAAGAACCCGAGGAAGAACCTCTGTGAGGAACCAAGACTCAAAAAGTTAACACTCCATGAGAACATGAGGAGGAACCACTGAGAGGAACCAAGACTCAAAAAGTTAAAACAGTGCAGTGCAACATTTGGCTTAGTCTGTCCAGGAATGCAGGTTCTTGTGTTGCGGATATACGATACCTTGCCTTTAACTCTGAGTAGTTAGAGTGAAGCGTAAAGACAGAAGGTAATTATAAAAGGACTAAAGCTCACAGCCAAGCGGAGAACACTCCAGTCCATTCAGAGATCCTCTAAAAGTCCAGCTGATGACCCTGCCTGCCTCAGACAGTGGCTTAATTACCCTGATTCCATCACTCAGTGTTTACACTGCAGGCCTTGAAGGAGCTCCAGTAAACAACAAACATGAAATGAATATTGACAGTAATATGTTTATTAACCCAGAGCAATTGGGTTTGACTAAATGTTTGCAGCAAGAGTGAGCAGCAAATAAGAAATCGGATAAAGTGACCTGGATATGAGCTGCATGTAAAGCATTAATCACATTTCTTTTGGTTTTCTAAATATGTGCATGTGTTCAAATGGAACCTGATAGAGCACTAACCAGGAAACAATAGATGATTAACTGTTTTTGGTTCTAGCTAAAGCTAGCTACAGAACCCAGGTAGCAGGGTGACATTGCTCCATTATTGATTTTCCATCAGAATCATCATTTTGGTCAAGGTCAAGGAAATTTCAATGTCAGCATTGTGTGGAGAACCCCGAGACTGGACTTCTTGTTCCAGCACATCCCAAAGATACGTAATCGGATTGAGATCTGGAGAAGCTGGAGGCCAGAGAAGCACCTTGAACTCATCATCGTGTTCCTCAAACTGTTCCTGAACAATGTGTACACTGTGGCAGGGCACCTTATCCTGCTAAAAGAGGCGACTGCAGTTAGGAGATACCATCGCCATGCGGTGGTGTACCTGGTTCACAGCAATCTTAGGTCGGTGACCTCAAACTGACCTCTACATGAACATTTGGACCCAGGGTTTCCCAGCAGAACACTCAGAGCATCACACTCCCTCCACCGGCTTCCCACAGTGCATCCTGGTGCCATCACTTCCCTAGGTAAACGCTTAACACATACCCAGCCGTCCACCTGATGTAAAAGAAAACAGGACTCATCGAACTAGGTGACCTGCTTATATCACTCCAAGGTCCAGTTCTGACACTGCTGGTACACTGTAGGTACTTTTGATGGTGGAGAGGGATCAGCATGGGCACTCTGACTGGTCAGAGGCTATGCAGCAGCACTGTGTTGTGACACAGTCCTCCCGTACCCATCATTAAACATTTCTGTGACTTGTGCCACAGTAGCCCTTCTGTTGGTTCGGACCAGATCGATGAGCCTTGGGCACCCAACATCCTGTCACCGGTTTGTGGATTGTCCCTCCTCGGACCACTGTCGGTAGATGCTCACCACTGCTGACCAGGAGCACATAACAAGCCTTGACGTTTCAGAGATCCTCTGACCCAGTCATCTGGCCATAATGATCTGGCCCTTGTCAAAATCGCTGAGGTCTTCGCGTCTGACCATTCTTCCTCCATCCAACACGTCAACTATGAGAATCAACTGTTCGCTTAATGTCCGATATAGGATATATTGAGTAAGTGAACAGTGAACCCATGGACCTCGACATGCACCGTACAGGATAATCAACGCTAATCACCATCTGTGAGTGGACATAAAGCCTATATATACTCATATATACTCATATAAATGTCTATATGCACCACCAGCACCCATCTGAGCCCGTTTCAGTGCAAATAGGATAAAGGAGCCAGGATTACTAACCGAGAGGCTAATATTAGCAGCACTTTCCTCCAGTACCTTGTTCCTCCACAGCAGGTAATGTGGTAACATCACAGATAAGCATACAGTGATGCTTTTGTTCCTAGTCGGAGTCCTTTAAACTAGCTTTCTGCTCAGAGTGGTTTGAATGCAATTTGATGTCAGTGACCAACTTTTATCATTTTTAAATTTAGTCTAAATAACAGTATATAAAGCAAAATAAAAGAAGAGAACATATGCCCTCGTGCATAATATTAATAAAAAATAAATACATCTACACTGTGAAAAGCTGTGGCATCCCCAAACTTTTGGCAGGCAGTGTGTGTCTGATGACTCACTCCACTGAAGCTTTGTGTGAGAAAGAGACAGATGTCAGGTTGTGATTACTGAGACACAGCTATTAGAGTAAAGCAACAATAAGAGCCTGCTGACACTCAAAAACAAACAAAGAAACAAATAAACAAACACAAACTATAGAATTATTAGAACACAATAAAATTTAATTAAAATAAGTTTTCAATACAAATAATATTTTTAGCATAACAATCTGAGTGAACAGCAGAATCTTTATGAAATTTGAGCATGAATTTCAGAATTTCTTAGTATTTGGTACTTTATGTTCCTCTTTTGCTTTAATGACAGTGAACACCAGATGCTACAAGTTTGTGTAGAAGCTTCTGATCAGTAGATCAAATCCAGCTGAGAGTCGTCTGAACACGAAACACGAGCTTCAGTGGAAGAGATAAGACTTTCAAAAAAAATTTGGCCTCAACATGACCAATGGCCAAAAAATGCTCCAATTTAAATAATGACCTAGAAATACTGCAGAATCTTCTTCTTAATTTTACTTGCCATGTCTTTTCAAAAAAAATCAGTTGTTTATATCCAGGATTAAATGTAAAACATTCCAGTTTTTCAAAGTGGTCTCAGACTTGTACGCCCCACTGTATATTGTTCTGACATCTGATCAGTTGAAAAGTAGTGCCACATTTAAACACATATTTAAAAAACTAAGAATATGATTATTTATATTCAATATGTTACACACTGTGCTGCCCTATTTTTAAGCAAGAATCAGTTAACACATCCTCTACAGAGACCACAGTTCAATATGATATTTTTCTGTTCATCTTAGTACACAATTTCTATTTTTTGCTGAGTTTAACATACTGGAATAAAAATAAAAAACCAACAACGATATGGAATTTAATAAGGGGCGCCCAAACTTTTACAAACTACCGTATATCTTCACTAACTTAAAATAAAACAATAAGGCCCAGTCCCATTTCTTGTTTTTACCCCTACCCCTTGTTTTCGAGTGTTACCCCTTTGAACTGAGTTACAGGGTAGTGGTTGAAATCTTCCCTCTGAAATGGGACCCTCAAATAAAAAGAGCATCACTTCATTAACAGCTACCAGTGCTGCTCTGTAGGCGACCCTGCCAGTCTGCAGTGACAGCAGAGGAGGGTAAAGTTCAGCTCCTCACTGCTGGGCTTTAGTTACATTTAGGGCATCATATGACTTCAAAGAGGGGGGCAATTATTTATTATCACCCACCGCTAATTCTTCAGTGATATGAAGCTGAAGTCAGATATTTCCCAGCTTCTCGTTAGAATTTTCCCGTTCCACCTTAAATGGAGCAGCAGTTACATTCTGGAGCTTCAGGCGTCAGAACTGCTGGACTATTTAAGGTGGAACGGGAAATTTAGCTAGCTAGCCACACAGACATCAACACTACTAGCATTTGTAATGCCTGTTATGAAGAAAAGGACCATAATACACTGAAACGACAGTAAACTAAGATAATTCAATGGTATCATAATTTTTAACGGAGAAAATTCTCACTGGTTTTTCTTTTTTTCTCATAACTCTCTGTCTGGAGTCTCTGAAAAACCTCCGTTTGGAGGGTCATGTAGCCCCAACACTTCACCCTACCCCTCTATCTCAACAAGAATCAGGACACCCTACCCCTAGACCTGAACGAGCAAAACAGAGGGCTAAGGCTAAGTGGTGGGGGCGAGGTGTGAAATGGGATTGGGCCTAAAGGTTTAGGTGTAATGTTTATTCAAGGCTGAAGCTGTTTTCACAGCTGCTGTTTTCTGAAAAGCAGTCATGGTTCTTCATCTTGAGGAGAGTCTTATTCAGTGATGAGAAAACACCAAAGCTCATTCAGTGACCACACAAATTACCGACCATTAGCCTCCCTCCATTAGCCTTGTGTTCATGCCTCTGTTATATACCTGTGTGTCCAGGTTACTGGTGCTCCGGTCCACACACAGGTGTTCATCAGAGTCCTTCAGTTTCTTCACCTGTGAAAAGAACCAATCAGATCACACGCAGTCTGATACAGTAGCACAGCTCCATTATCATCAGTAAAGCTGCAGGTTTATAACATCACAACTGCCAGTAAAGCTGCATTATTAAGTGGTTAAGATGTAAGCAGAGTCATTCAGAGTGGTTTGGTGTGATATTCTCTGTTCTAGAGTCAGAACTGTTCACAGTGGTGGTGATAGGAACCAGACGTCCACCTCTAAAAGCTCCCTCACAGAAAGTTACTACATGAAATGGTTATGAATTCACTGCCCGATGACTGAGACACTGTTTTACGTTTTGAGAAAATTAAACATTTTTAAAGCCGTTCATGGTGGAGGGATACATGCAGGGTGTTGTGAAGCAGAATAGTCCCCCAAAAAAAACCGGATTATTTCAGATTTTCCACTATTTTCCATCATCAACATTCCATATAAACTCAGAAGACTCGTGTAGGTTCACTGGAGGTTCTGGATAGTAAATAAAATGTCTATATTTGTGTTGTAGTCATGGTGACCCCTGGTTCCTATCACCACCACTGTACAGACATTTAAACCATTTCACACCAAACCACTCTGAATCTCTCTGATTACATCTCAAACACTCAGTGATGGAGGAATTTTACAAAACTGGTGAAATTTCCCTGTAAATATTGTTGCTATAGTACAATAATAACAATGACTGTCAGACCGTCAGGTAGGCCTTCAGTCCAGGACATAGACTCCAACGTTTGGTCAAAAACACCCAAATCAATGATAAAGCTAATGATAATGCTACTTTCTGCTTGTAATATGATATATATGAAGCTAATATAAGTGCAAATATATTTTTTTTTCACTTTTCTAGAGTAAACAGAGACTGACTGGCTTTGTTTACATCTCAACCATTGAATTATGCAGTTATTTAGAAATATCGGTGTAACTCCAAACCGCTACTTTAAACCTGGAAGACATCCTGAGAAATGTTTACAGAAAGGAATAAAAATGATTTCTGTGCTTGTTTTAACTGCACAAGCCAACCAAACAGAGAAAGGAAGCTCAGTTTCTTTTGTTCCTGTCTTCTGCCCAATAAGCACTGGGATAGACTCCAGCACCACCTCCGACCCAGAAGGATAAGCGGCTTAGAAAATGCGTGTGAGAGTTTTACTTTGATTATCTGCCGTGAAGAAGAATGCTGGCACACTGGATTGGTGTGAAGTTCCTCTGACTCTTATTTTGTCTCTTTTTTCGTAAAATCTCAAAGTAAGGGTGATTTTGAATTGTGTGAATGTAGCCTGATTGTACACCAGAAAGGCGGAGCTAAAAAAGGAGGGGTTTCTGATAAAGTGGCCAGACAGGGTGCACAGCATGTAAGGAACCCAGAAGCTTCTCATCATGGAGTCCATCAATCAGTAACATGAATATAATGGACAGCTCCACCTCAGTACTCACTTGTCCACCTCTAATTTAGAGAAGGACTGAGCAGCGTGATGGAACCTCACGAACATGAACGAGTGTGAACGCACCTTAGCGCTGCAGTCGGAGAGGCGTCTGGAGCAGGCCTGCAGCTGAGACATCCACATCTGCTGCTCTCTGCTGTCCACCGCTACAGAGAGAGAGTTGTAGGAGAAAGAAGGGAGAGGAGATAAACTGTTACTATGACAACGAGTGATAATTCAGTAACATTCAGGAATAATGTAACACGCTGTGGACGACATTACAGATCACATCAGGACGCTTTTCTGACGGCTCTCAGGAACATGAACTCATCCAGAAACGAGACACCCGTTTCCTCCAGCTCTCAGTCAGAGCAACAATAAGAACAGCCTTAACTGAACTGCCCCCGGTTACCTCTGATAGTCAGTC